TTTAGGAGGTTTTTTTTTTTTAGGTTTGGCACACAGTCCCTCTTCTACTTTTGTGGGCTATGGTTCCATGACACTCTATTTTCAGAACCTTTGCAGTACTACTTTGTTTGATTTATCTTGTGCAGGTGGGGTTAGTACTGGTCTGTGCTTGTGCTGCTTAAGGGGGCAGAAAAATCTTCCCAGGCCAGGGCACCTGGTGCTTCTAGATGGGGGAAGAGAAACTCTTGTCCACTTGCATGAAGAGTGGGTCAAGCACTATGTCAGGATCTCCCTTATCTATAAGGAATGGTGAATACTTACCAGGTTGAAATCCTTTTGTGGTATTGGCTGGTACAGGCAAGTTGCCTGGTATCTCTGTGTATGGGAAAGGAGTCTCAGGCCCAGCTAAGGAGAAGAGCATTTCCCAGGTGGGAGCTTTATGCTATGGGATCACTTTTGCTGGTACCCTTGATTACCAGTATGTCTGGGTTGTAAAAGGAGACCTCAGACCCAGTGGGGAAGAAAAGCACTTTTCCAGGTCACTTATTGTTAGCAGGGATTCCAATTGTTCCTTTTTACAGCTTCTGCAGAGCTCACCTGAGTATTTTCAGTGGGATTCCCATTTGATCTGGTGGAGGAAGAGCCTGTTTGAACTGCTTTCTGTTATTAAGAGTCTGTTATTGAGAGTTAGTAAGTGCTGAGCCTGGGTCACCTTTTTCTTTTGGGTGGGGATCATAAGATGTCCTTCCATGAAGTTGTTCATCTATTCCAAAAGTCCCTAGCCAATTAAGTTTCTTCTTTAGAACTTTCAGAGTTCTCCTCTGGTTGTCTTGTGTATTTCTCGGATATATAGTTGTACTTACAGAGTGGGGAGCAGGAAGAGAGGAGTATAAACCATCTTATCTGGACAAATTCTGTGACTTTTAAGGGCTCACCTGATTAGGTCAGGCTCATTCTGGATAATTTCCCAATCAACTGTGCCATACATCATAACCTAGTAATGGGTATGATATTCCATCACATTCACAGGTAATATTCCAGGGGAAGGGCTACTATGAAAGTCAGTGGGTAACATTTTAGGATTCTACCACAGAAAGCATATGTAAATGTACTGAAGCATTGATTAGGCAATTGTTATCCTCTGGAAGGTTGGAACACGTTAGGATAGCAAGAAGAAAAGTCGTGTTATAATTATTCCATTCACTTTAAATGAAATATATCTTGTATAAGAAACAGTAACAATCAGAATAGTCAAACAACTTTCAGAATTTAATGTGAATCTTAGAGGTTCATTTAAGACTTCATTTCTGGCCATGCAAATATCTTCCGTGTGAAAAATATACCAGCTCAAAGATATATTAAAAGACTTCACCAGCACGCTCCATTTATGTTTCCATGTAATTACTGTGGTTGCCAGCAATTCACATAGAAAACAAAAATCAGTGATGATTCTGACTTTAAGTTTTTAGAGAAAGTTTAAACTTAACGTACTTAACACTGTCCATATTTATATATGTTACACATTGTGCAAAATTTATGACTGTTGCTTTGGTTATAATACAGTGTATTCTCACCTAAATCAGGATTGAAAATTTAAAAGCAAAATTCGATGGTTTGGCCAATATACAAAAAAACAGAAACAAAAATTTAAAAAACTCCAGTTTCCAGACTGAATTAGGAAAAAGAAATCCTTCACTATGTTTGGATTGGAATGCAAGCATGGCCTAAATTTGATTTTAAAGTGTCTTGGTTTTGGGTAATACTTTGATGAGGACAATTAGAATTGAGTTAGGTAGGCATGTTTTTGAACTCAAGTTTTACCTTAAAGCTTTCAGATTGAAATTGGGAGGCTGTAAGCAGTAATTGGGTACTTTGGATCATTCACATGAAAATTAAGATATATAAACTATATGACACTTTATAAGAATTAGGCTATGCTTTTTTTAGGCTATGTTTTTAAAAGTTATATGAACTAAACTTATAAAAAGAAATTCTGGGCCCCTGGGAAACTCAGCCAGTTAAGCATCGGTCTCTTGGTTTTGGCTGAGGTCATGTTCTCAGGATTGTGAGATTGAGCCCCAAGTCAGGCTCTGCCTTCAGCATGGAGTCTGTTTGAGTTTCTCTCCCTCTTCCCATCCACCCCCCACTCACACATACTGTCTCTCTAAAATAAAGAAATCTTAAAAAAAAAGACTGTATCCTTTGCTGTACAAAAGCTTCTTATCTTGATGAAGTCCCAATAGTTCATTTTTGCTTTTGTTTCTTTTGCCTTCGTGGATGTATCTTGCAAGAAGTTACTGTGGCTGAGTTCAAAAAGGGTGTTGCCTGTGTTCTCCTCTAGGATTTTGATGGAATCTTGTCTCACATTTAGATCTTTCATCCATTTTGAGTTTATCTTTGTGTATGGTGCAAGAGAGTGGTCTAGTTTCATTCTTCTGCATGTGGATGTCCAATTTTCCCAGCACCATTTATTTGGAGGGTATTATGCTGCATGAAATAAGTCAGTCAGAGAAGGACAAACATTATATGTTCTCATTCATTTGGGGAATATAAATAATAGTGAAAGGGAATATAAGGGAAGGGAGAAGAAATGTGTGGGAAATATCAGAAAGGGAGACAGAACATAAAGACTCCTAACTCCGGGAAATGAACTAGGGGTGGTGGAAGGGGAGGAGGGCGGGGCGTGGGGGCGAATGGGCGATGAGCACTAAGGGGGGCACTTGACGGGAAAAAAGAAATTGAGACTTGAATATACTTACAAAGCAAACATTGAAGCAATACCTATAGTGGATTTTTTTCCTTAGTTGTTTATAATCACAGCAATCCAAAATGTGAGACATTTAAGAGCAATATAATTAAATTCTATGGGTTTGTCATGTCATCACTTCTAAAGATAAAATCTACTTGTTTTCTTCTTCATGGTATCAGTTCTGAGTAGATGAAGGGAAAATTAAGAGAAGACAAAGAGCTGAGTCAGAAAGCAGAATGAAGGGCAAGGGGATGAGGCAAGAAAGCATACACAGACCGGGTTTGAAGAGAATTGGGAATGCTGGTTGTGGTAGATGGTTTCTGATTTGCTCTTCAGATCCACTGGCCATCTTGCTCTGCCCTGCTTTAGGATTCCAGGAGGCGGACCCTTATCAGCTTTATCAATCAGTATCTCTGTGTCCGCAGGTTGGGCTTGGCTAATGGAAACTACCAACAGAAGATTAGCAATCTGGAGCAAAGAAAGGTTAGGGTCTGTTTATTTCCATGACACTTTACCCTAAGTTTTGGTTGGCATTGCTGCCTTTTGTTTATCTAAGGTCACAGCTCTTGTTGGATGGCCTTCTACTACAACCACAGGACACTCTTTGTTGCAGGAACTACTACCTTTCTATACCCCTTCAAGCCTAGTGGTGATAATACAGGCTTCTCACTGTTGTTAGCCTCAGGGTACTTCATCATCTCTTGGCTTCCTTTCATTCTTTACACATTTTTAGTAAATAGCCTCTTTGTTAAACTTTTTCCATCACCCTTTTCAAGTGTGCCATCAATTTTTGCCCAGGACCCTAACTGATACATTGGTAATGGAAAATGAGAGAAACTTTAAGACAGTATGAAGAAGTTGGACAAACTGTTGGGAAGAGAAATAGGAAGACAAAAGTTTTAAAGCTTTTTATAGCAAATTATGAATGTAATGACTTTATGTGTCTCTAATAAACTATTTTTTTCCATTGGAAAGTAGTTGTTTATTAACTGATCAGATTACAAAAATGATCATGTTATATACCTTAGTTCATCCTTCTAATAAGCCTGTTGATCTGGTCTTCCCTGTTGCCAGCATCTCCACCTTCTACAAAATGGGTGGTTTTTTTCTTCATTCCCCCGTGTGGAGAAGATAATTTGAAGAGCCATAAAAAGTCGTTTGCTGCTTTGAGACGTTTTCCAACAGTATAGATCTTGTGAATCAGATCCTCCATGACATATTTATGATGCCATACTTACCAAGAGATCGGACAATTAATGTGTTACCTGTCAGGGCAATTCTCTTGTTGATCTTGCCGTAACTGTGCTTGTACATCAGTTCATTCACCGACTTCAGGTTAGGGTAGGCCCATGCTATATGTGGTTCCACAATCCTTAGTATGTTCACTGAAGCCTTGTTGAGCTTAACAAAGATGTCATTGAAGATCTGGCGAAGGCAAAGAAGCTGCAACACCTTTCGAACCTTTGGGCTCACACCATTGATACCTTTGATTCTGATGACAAGTGCCCATTTGAGTTCTCTAGGCACGTAGAAGTTGCCAGCTTTTCTCTCCATCCTCACCATTTGAATCTCAGTGCTGTACATCTGCCTGTATTCCTCGTGGTAATGCTTAGCTTTTTCATAGATAAATCTTCCTCCTTGTTTTTCGAAGCATCTTTTGGGCAAACTTTTTTCTCAGATGCTTGATCTTCAACTCTGAGAAATTTCTTCACTTTTTTAAGGGTTTCTTGCACAGCAGGAACCTTTTTTTTCTTCTCTTCTACACCCTCCATGGTTCCAGTAGGAAAAGAGGTCTAATAAATTCTTTACTCGCTTAATTATTTTGGTTGTATTCTGTCTCTTTGTATACACATCTAAGATGGGATAGGGATATGAGATGTCTGGGATTTGCATGACTAGGTAAAACTACTAGTTTCTATCTGAATTGGTTGTATATTAAGACATTTCTTTCATGGAATCAGGAACATTCCTCCTACCCCAGTGTACCTGCTAAGTTTCTTTTGAAATCCACTGTAGTGTGAAATTTGTTTTTCCTGTCAGACAGGATAGTATTGTTTCATTTGTAAACATATCCTTTTATTCTGGAAAAGAAATTGGAGAAAGTCCAGTCATTCCTTCAGGAACGAATGAGTCAGTTCAGATTGTTACATTGGGACTTGATTTTAAATTAGATTGATTGTTATATTTAAGAATCATTCCAAAAGTGGACATTAGGCAGGTGACTACAGTTTGTCCATCACTATAACAGTTTATATAGATAAGGATTCAGATCTCAATTAGAATTTTCTTTTTCACCAGAATCCACTACTTGCCCACGACAAATAGGACAGGTGGAGTTCTCTGACAGCCAGTGATCGATACAGTGGACATGGAATTCATGGGAGCAAGGTAGGATGCGAAGTCTGTTGCCTTCTATGTACTCTGTGATGCAAATGCTACAGGCTTTTAATGCACCACTTTCACCAAAAGATCTTACAGCCAGGTTGTCAATTTGTGCTTTGGTGAGTCCTGTAGGTTGGTCGTGATTGTCTTCATTCAAGACGAAAAAGTGGTCCAGATTAAGAGAGGCCCAAGAGTCACTATCATTAAATGTTATTGAGCTCATAGATGTACTTTCTTGCCTGCTTTCTGATGGTGAGCCTGATGGTGTCCTTATTTCATTACTGCCTTCAAACATTATTGAACTAATTGCTGAATTTTCATCACTGGAGCTGGAACTGAAAATAGGACTAGAATTGAAACTAGACACATAGCTGGAATTTGAACTAGAAATCAATGCAAATATTGGATGGAAATCAGAACTAGTCCTACCATCAGAACCATCTCTTTCATTTGGTGACTCTGCCCTTTCCATGTTTTGACTTGAGGGTGAGACACTGTACACTAAATCACTGTCACTGTCCATGAAGTCACTTGAGTCACTAAATACTGTCACTGTCTCTGTAAATGTGCTCTGAATTGTAACAGATGTTGTATCATTTAAATCAGTATTTAAAATGCTATGAATGGGAATTCTGATGGTACTGACATAAATTCTTTCTTCTGTCTCCTCAAAATATGGAAACATGTGCCCAAATCCTCCTTGTTCACTTTGTAAAATGACAGTGTTGTTTGGTGTCTCAGATATTAATGGAGTTCTGCTAGCTCTCTCATCTCTATGAGAATATGCCCCAGGATGAACTACTCCTACTTCAAGATGAAATGGTATGATTGGATTTATCTGTTCCAATTCCCAAGATTCATCATCACTGGTTGTGTCTGACCAACTTTCTTCTTCAATAGCACTCCTTGTTCCAGAAGTCGTTAAAAGGTCGCTATTTTGCAGCTCAGGTCCAGTTATTTGCTGTCTTGATGTTGTTCCTTGTTGCTGAATTCTAGAAAATATGTCAGCCTCATTTACCTGAAGGTACTCAAAAGTCTCAGGTGATATATTCTGATGAAATCTTAGTAAACATTCATTCATTGAATTTGGAGCTGAACTACTTTGAGTTCTTGCTCTGGTTCTCCGATGCTCTGGGCTCCTGCTTCTTGCTCTTCGCCGAACTCTGGTAACTGGGACTTCTATTAATGCTTCAGTTGTACTTTGTTCTGATCTAGGTGGTCTTATAAATGTTGATTCAGATTGTGGATTTTCCACTTGCCTTTGGCTGTTTTCCATATTGTCTCCTCTGGTAAGTCTTGTAGATGGTACATATAGGTTCTCTAGATTTGGGCTCCCATTATCAAGGTTAAAATTTATTTCTGAATTGAATCTGGAATCATCACTGTTTGAATTAATCCGGCTCGATTCTTCCCAAGATTGGTTTTCACTTTCCTCACTTGTCACATTTTCAGTTTGCTCGGAAAAGTTAAGCCATTCTAATAGAGAGTCACTACTAGATACACTGTTAGAAGAATCTCTTCCACCTGTTAACAAAAAGGGGAGGCAGAAAGGAACTATCAAAATTAGAACTATCAAGCAAACAAAAAATTAGACTTTTAATACTGAGATGTTTTAAACAGATTTCACATTTATAGAGTTAATATTTTATAAACTACATTTTCTAAATTGACAAGTAAAGGCAGGAAAGTTTGAGTTCCTTCTGAAAAGAGCTAGCTAATCTTAGATAAATTGAGAGAATTGTTTGTTTGTTTAGGAATCTGGAGGAAGTTTGTTTTCAATATTTCATCATATTCATGGCCTTGTGTACCACTGTGGGAGGAAAGTCAAGAGACAACATTTTTTCACTCCACTGTCAAAACACTAATACAATTAAATAAGGTTAAGGTACAGTGCTAGTATTTTTTTTTCAGTGCTAGTATTTTAGTTCAATTTACACTACTGCCTAATTCTCATTAGTCTACAACAGTACTTCTAGGCTCTTAAATGCTTATGGTAATATACAAAGTTGTTTAAAAATATAACACTATTGTAGTCATTGCCCAAATTTAAATAATATTTATAGGTTTAAAATTTATTTGAATACTTCTTAATGTTACCAAGATTTTGAGGTGACATGAAACTGAAGGTGAGATCAGATGAATAGACTGAACCTGGCATAGTATATATGAGGCCATGTTTAAGAACCAAACTATTATGTATCATCTTCATTTGATAGTAAAATTTTCTACTTCACACTAGGAGAGAAGCAGCAGACCTGATTAGATCAGGGTTTCTCAACCTTAGCACTGTTGACATTTTGGTGTTGGATAATTCTTAGTTTTGGGGAGCTATCCTATATTGTGAAGTGTTTGGTAGTATCCTTGGCCTCTGCCTGCTGTTTGCCAGTAACACCCACACATCATTTTTGACAACCAAAAATATCTCTAGACATTGTCAAATGTCCCTTGAGGGGTGGGAGCAAAATTACCCCCAGTTGAATATAATATATTTGTTCACTGCTGAAGAAGTCTATGTCTTTATAGAAAAAAATAGCTCAGGAAGTAGGAGAAACTTTTAGTTGAGGTGGAAAACCAAGAAAAATATCAATAGCCTATTTCACACTTGTTTCTCAATTAAAGTGACTCAAATGTGAATTGGGGGAAAAACATATTTTTCCATTCTCACCAAAAATCAAGTAAATGCCAGTTCTTTTTAATGAGAAGTTACTTGCTACCAAATTAAAGTATGCCACTTCTGTATCATCGCTGGCTGACACTATTATGAAGTTCCTTACCCATCCCATTCTATTCTCCCTAAAAATGAAATATACCTCTATTTTCATCTGAATTTTGTGCTAGGTTGTCTTTAATTCGTTGAAGTCTCCTCAGCAACTCTTCTAATGTAGTTTCACCTGGGATGCCTAGCAAATTGTTATCCCTCATAAGCTTGTAATCTTCTTCACTCAGATTATTTACAAATTGATAGAAATCTTCTTCCCGGAGCAATCGGGCCATCTGCCTTCTGCGCCGGGCAGCAGATTCATCTTCTTTATCATCGGAACCAGAATTTTCCATCTTGATGAACAAGTGGAAAGATACCTGACTTTTATAGCATGATGTTGAAAAACAATAACTGGATCTTACATATAGTTACATATGAATACATAATATGAATAATATGAAATACATAATACGAAACACAATAACTGGATTCTCTTTCTGTTACGGTTACCGTGTCAGGACCCGCCCGACATGGTTGGATCTGCCTCCGCTCAGGCTTCTCCTGCAGCCCTGGACGCAGTCCTATAGCATCTGATAAGCCTTAGTTGAGAACCGCCTTTATATGAGAAGTTGCTAGGCACCGTTGCCTAGGTGTCCATTATGTACGTCATTGTTACCAACTGGGGACCGTAATCAGGGTAGGTTTCACCGCTTTCCAAACCAGTAGATACTGCGGAGGCTTACTGTGTGCCAAGCACTTCCCTTCACCTCCTTTTATCTGCATGAGCCTGTTCTCCGGCTTTCGGGGAGGCTTTTCCAGGCTTTGCTATGCGCTAGTTATTTGTATGTCAAGTTAAAGAACCCAAATGCAGCTAGTTATATTGCATATGACTGATTTCTTCAAAATGCCACGCCAAAGTCATGCTAGTCAAATGCAGCAGTTCTCATTTTCAGGTGCCCAAGGAGCTCTCTCTTTTTTCCTCATGAATTCCTCAAATCATAGATACTCACTAAGAAAGCCCACAGTTTTTGATAATTTGCGAGAGCCATAGCTGAATTTCTGTGGTTGGCTCTTTTATTATTATCTATTATTTTTTTATCCTTTTCATTCTTAATGGCTTCATCTTGAATTACACAGTCTCTCAAGCTTCCGTTAAAATAAAACAAAACAGGGTTCCCTGGGTGGCGCAGCGGTTTGGCGCCTGCCTTTGGCCCAGGGCGCGATCCTGGAGACCCCGGATCGAGTCCCACGTCGGGCTCCCGGTGCATGGAGCCTGCTTCTCCCTCTGCCTGTGTCTCTGCCTCTCTCTCTCTCTCTGTGTGACTATCATAAATAAATAAAAATTAAGAAAAAGAAAATGCTTTATAAAAAAACAAAAACAAAACAAAAACAAACCTGAGCAAAAACTTTGGCAGGTTTTCTGGTCAGTTCCTTAAGGAATTCTCCTCAAAAGCATTGTTTCATTTTTGTCTCCTTTCTCATACATGAGAATTATATTTATATTATAAAGAAATACTATGAACAAATATTATGAGAAGTATATTTATATTATAAATCTTTATATTGTTTATCTAGCCATAACATCACAGGTACTTTTAAAACAGATCTATAATAGGTATTTTGCCTTCAATAATGTATACTGATTTTGCTGATTCTGTTCCATATGTGTTAGTCCAGCCAGGATGGTGTGGTGAGAATCATGCTCATTTGCAGTGCTATTTGAAGGAGACCTCTAAGAGCTTTTGGACTAATTAATCTTACCAGACCCATTTAACATTTGTTTTGGAATCTTTCATTCAAGTTGTTCATGTAAAGATAAGATTTGGCTATGGAATTTGAAACATTATACAATTGAATTTATTTATAATGAATCTGTCCAGCATAAACTGAATCAGTTAATATCTACTAGAGATTTGTCAAATATTGCAGAAGTCTGTTCTCCCACATTATTTATATTCCAGGTGATGGAAGCATCACATAGAAACTGAAAATATAATATATTATATGTGATAAAAGATTTATATCTATAATATTATATAAGTACAAGGGAACTGTGTGATTAATGGGAGTTGGGAAATATTTCACAGAGATGGTACATTTAAATCTGGATCTTTAAATATAATTATGAGTTTCTATTGGTGGAAAGTAGCAGTCGGGTATGTGTTGGTGAAGAGAGAGTATGTCAGACTGAAGAAATATATTTGAAAGACCTTGGCTTCTTTGGGGGAACTGAGGCCACAATTTTGGTGTTGGGGTGGAAATGACATGAAATCTATCCCAGAAGGACTAATTGACACAGAATAGAAATTGAGTTTTGAGTTCTTCCTGTAAGAAATAGGGCACAGGTTAAGATGTTTTATTATTTTTTGGGAACAGTGATTTTTTTTTGTCTGCTTAGTGTCCACTTAACATGCTTATGACAATAGCAACTTGATTTTCTTGAAGGAGAAACCCACTCTTCAATCTTGTCCATTTGGTTTAGGTTTAGCTGAATTTACTGCCACAGATAAAGGAAAGGACACATGTTGCAGCCATGTCTAATCAGCCCATCTCAAATTGTTGGTCACAGTAGCTGTTTTCAGCATGGGCATGTGGCCAAAAGTGTATTTAAAAGTTAAATTTGGGGTGCTTGGGTGGTGTAGTTGGTTGTGCATTTGACCCTTGGTTTTGGCTGAGGTCATGATCTCAGGGTTGTCAGATCAAAACCTGTGTTGATGCAGGGCTCCCTGGTCAGCAAGGAGTCTTCTTGGGTTTCTCTCTCACTCTCTCTCTCTCTGTTCCTCCCCCTACCCCATGCTTTGTCTTTCTCAAATAAATAAATAAATAAATAAATAAATAAGTCTTTTCAAAAATTTAAAAAGTTAAATCTGAGATGTTACCTTTAACTGTTGAAAATGAAAAATTATTTTTTGATGTGGTTGCTAAGCTAGTAGGATTTCAACCTAAAGATGCTTGTGCCTATCTTGTATACCAGAGAATGAGGAAAATCAACATAAAGAGACAGAATAAAGTAGAGAAAAAGCCAGATACCTAAGAAAAAAATTGAAAAATACCTGAAGCTAGATGTGCCATAGGATTTTTAAATCTGTAAACCAGTGTATTTCTTTTTTTTTAATGTAAAGCTTGTGTAGGATTTATGTCACTTATAATTAGATGGTTCCTAATAGTTGCAACAAGAGAGTTATATGACCAGTAATCTAGTCAGATGTCAAAAAGTAATTTTTAATAAATTTGCCACATAAAACTTATTTGCTATTGTCCATTTTATCATTTGTATAAGTTTTATTGGATTTAGACTTTTATGAAAAAATAAGAATACAGATTTTTCTGTCATTTATTTAATAAGTATTAGGCACTGAAATTGTGAATAATTAAGTTGAAATAAATGAGCAGTCATTTTCATTTGATTATGAATCAAATCTTGTTAGGCATATAATGTTTATCTTTTAGATAAATTCCCTACTTCTCTGTATCATTAGATCCTTTTAAAGTGTCCCTCTTTTCATATGTGTTTCACATATTATACAATGAATTCTGATACCTTGGCTCAATAATGCTCATTTAATTGTCAAATGAAGAGAAAATATCCTGAAGTAAATTACCACTGAACATTTGGTTTATATTAAGAAACGAAATGGTTCTGGTGGGAACTAAAATGTCTTTCACTGAGACCTTAATAAAGAGTGAGATAATGTTTTGTGACCAATTAGCTCCCTGGTGGGATTTTTAGGATGCCTAAGTTTAGCAAAGTCTTAATTAGTATGAATAGGTGTATGCTTGTGTGTGCACATACACATATAGGTGTGATGTGTTTGAAAAGTTTAAACAGTTGTTTGGTTAGGTAGTTTCTGGGTATTAGTAATAGGTCTATTTCACTTAAGTTTTGAAATTTCCTTTGCAATGTGAATGTATTTCATCTCAAACATTGAGTTCCTACAGCATTACCATTATTGTCTGCTTTGAAGTCTTGTTTTTAGTGTTTGTTATCAAACATCACAATTGGTGTTTCCAAACTATTTGAATTCAGTGTATTTAAAAGCAATATACTTGAAGCAATTCAGTAAAAAGGAAAGAGTATTAGGTTGAGAATTTAGAGACCTAGATTGAAGACCAATCATTAATTTGTTATTTGATCAATCATTTAAACTCTCTAGACTCCAATTTCTGAGACTCTAATATGAGAAAGTGGAATCTATTTTTCAAAGTTTGATTTAGCCAGTTGCTTAGACAGAAAATTGGGCAGTGGGAATTGAAAAGAATACCTAGAGCATAGTGCTGGATTGGCAACCATGAAGCCAAGAGGAAAGGTTGAGTGGGTTTAAGTTAGTGCAGCAATGCTGAGCTAACAGAGAAGCAAGGGAGTCAGAGCAGGTCCAAATTCCAATATCAAGCTAGGAATAACTATCTCCCAGAACATTAATTCAAAACCAGTAAGTTGAAATGGAGTATTGAGCCATAGAAGGCAATTCCAGAAGATTCAGAACATAGCCAGGGCAAGGTTATGACAAGCTTGGCAATCAAAGCTGTGAGGTAGTAGCATATGTGTATGACTTTGATTTTAGCTTGCTAAGTTAAAATATTTATACCTTGGATCTCTGAAGGTTAGTCCTCAGGTGTCTTAATATCTTTGTTTCTAAGACTTTTGAGATAGATGACCTCAATTTTTTTTTTTATTTCACAACTTTATGAATGAGAATATAATGGCAACAAATTTTAATTTTTAAGACACCAGGAGAATGTCTTAATTAAGTTTTAGAAGGTAGTTATAGTACAGTATAAGCATAAGCGAAAAGATACAGCATGTTATTAGTACTTATAAAGTTACAAATTAATTGCTTCTTAACATTTTTCATATTTAAATTCAGAAATGAAGATGATCAGATTTACCATTTTGCGGGTGAGGGGAAAAATAAAGGCATATTTATCATCTGCTATATGTGCTCACTGTATGCTTTATTATAATACATGCAAGGCCTAGGTGACTGGAAGTACAATTGTTAGACTTTTTAGTAAACTGGATATCCATTAGCTTCTTTGCAGCACACCATCCTTACATAGGAGCAATCAGGAAATAACATGAAATAGCCAAGCATTCTACACTGGGAAATAACACCTTAATAGCCAACCAGAATTACTCAGCTGCTATACAACTGTGTCTAGTGCACAAAAATGCATGAAAGATTAGAACTGTGTTTGATAATCCTTTAAAAATCAGTTCTTTTCACTTGAAGTGTTTTTTTTAAGATATTATTTATTTGGGGGGGTGCATTAGTGGGGGAGGGGCACAGGGAGAGGGAGAGAATCTCAAGCAGACTCTCCTCTGAGAGGGGAGACAGAGGTGGGGCTCCATCCC